AGATCACTGTCTTGTAGAGGCTTTCCCCAACCTCCTCAGACATGTTCAGTTTCCTTGTCAGGTGTACTGCAAATACCCTTGTAGTAGAAGCTGTGTGCCTTGTCCAGATCCCCCTTCAGGACCCAGGTGCCCACTCCTCCAGCCCACAGCTATCTCCAGAAATTGCCCTTAGTCAAAGAGAAATACCTCCTCAAGATTAGAGTCCTCCCCCTAAGGCAGTCCATACTCAATGGCCTGCTGATGCAGAAGGGTAAATGCCTAGCTCCTGTGTTTTAATCAGGGGCACAATTCAGGACACCTCTCAAGAGCCATCCTAGCTTAGAGCTCCCTTTGGGATCAGTTGCCTGTAGGATTGAAGCCTCTGTTGCAACTTCCGTACAGCTCAGCTTCACCCTCTGCCCAAACAACTTCTCCCTCACAACTTACAGGAACTGTTCCAAAGATCACTCCTAGACTTAAGAAAATCTCACGGTTTCTTTTTTGAAATGATTCGCTATTGTAGACAGGGTTTTATTACATATGGTAATAGCAGTCTTCATCAAATATACTCTATCAGGGAAGGAACCCTGTCCATTATGTTCACTGCTATATTTTCAGCCCATTGTGTGAAAAATAGCTGCTATTCAAAAAATAGTCCTGTTAAATCTTCTGTTCTTTAACTTTGAATAGGGTTGAGTTCTTCTCCTATTTTCAAAAGCCATTTATATTTACCTTTTGTGAACTTACCAATTTATAAGAGAAGAACATGAATGTTGGTGGGTTAACAAGGGTGAGCAAGACAGAGAGCAAGAGGCCTGGGTGGTGACAGGTAGAAGAACTAAAGAAACTGTAGTGGATGGCAATGAGGGACTCTTCTCCATCCTCCTAATTTGTCTCCACCAGCCCAGGAACAACTTAGGCCACACAAAGCCTTTGTTGAAAAGGCATCCTCTCTGGGTTAGTGAATTACAAAAATGGTATCCACCGAGTGAGAACAGACCTCATGTCATGAGCCTGGAAAACAGAGGTAGATTTGTGTCAGCCTTCAACTCTCTCCAGCCAATGCAGCCCCACCAGTTCTCATTGATTGGCTGGCAGAGCATGGGCTTGATTTAAGGCCCTACTCATCACCTCAGCTCCTGCCCATATTCAGTGCCAACAACTCAACCACACATGGTGGTCTTGCATCTCCTCACCAGGAAGGAAGGCATCCTCACACAACACCCTTTGAACTGTAAGTAATCCCATCAACCCACTGCTGGGCAGCTCAATTTCCCAACTCACTTCAGGGCTGCCAGGATGTGCTGAGTGTTATCATTTAAGTAAATTCCTTCCTTCAAAGCCCTTTCTGCAACACTATGAAATTCTTACAATTCCATTGTCAAACATCCATGCCCTGGAATTACTGAGGACTTGGAGTTAAGAGGGTAGCCTCTTTTTTTTTTAACTCTGCCCACAGAAGAGATCTATGGAAAGGTACTGAGACACTTGTTTTTGGGAGACAAAGGCTTAACACGTGTTATGAGACCTGAAGTCTGGGTCTGGGAGGAATCTCAACAGAAATTGTTGCTTTAAGCAGCTGGAACACACTGGATGCTCTCTCTCGATTTCGTCATTCAATTCTTATTTGTATCTATCCCATACACACTACCAAGAGAAGAGGTTTCAGCAACACACTGAACTTTATCAAAAGGGACTGTTTGTACATTTTTATTCCCAAATATTTCCATGTTCTTTATATCACAAATGTTTGCTGAATGAGAAGCATTCTAATTCCTATATCATCACTCTAGATTGCTTCTGTGGCAAAATGTACAGACACTACATTACCTTTGCACTTGCGATGGGGACAGGGTGACAAGACAGACAACCAGAGAAAAGGAGAATCCTTGGGTATTTAAAATGCATATGTCTATCTTGTCAAGAAATTGCACAAATATATGGGAAAAGAGGGGGAAACAGTTGATGAAAAAATAAAATGAGCATCTCTCCCTTGTACCATGATTATGCCCTCGACCTCATCTCACCTCCTTCTCCATTTCCTTCCTCCTCCATGGAATGCACTTTCTGAAATAGATTACAAACAAATTAATTGAGTTAATAGAAAAATATATACGTTCCTTCTTCCAGTTTCTCCTGCATTACAAGGTTATGCTTCTTTGAATTCAACAGCGGAAGTAAGCAGAAACTAAAGCTATAAGGTTCTAATGGGCAGAGAATGGGTTTCATTTCTCCCTGCCTTGTCTACTTCCGAGGCCTGATCAGGAACAGTACAGAAAGTTTGATTTTTGTATCAATGATAATGGTAAAAGATGAGTTAGAGTTTTTTAGGTTACTAAATAATCCATAATGAAGATCATAACATCTAAAACTGAGAGAAGAGTTATTCCTTGATGAGTTGACCGCAGTGTTTCAAACTATCCCAAAGGGCCTCTTTGACTTTGTCATTCCAGAGAGTGAAGATAAAAGGGTTCAGGAAGGGGGCTAAGACAGAAAGCAGTAGTGAAACTATCTTGTTATACTCAGCTTGCTGAGTTTGCTGGGTTTGACATAAAGGAACAGGCAGCTGCCGTAGCCGATCACAACAAAGGTGAAGTGGGAGGCACATGTAGAGAAGGCTTTCCTCCGGCCAGAGGCTGAGGGGATCTTGAGGATGGTGGAGATGACGTAGGTGTAGGAGACAATCGTTGGGACAAGGGAACCAATGATAATCACCACAGCCATTAAAAACAGAACAAACTCTGTGAAAAGAGTGTCATCACAGGATAGTTTGAGCAGTTGTCCTTGGTCACAGAAATAATGGTCTAACAGATTTGATTTACAGAAGGTAAACTTAAATGTAGCATAGGCTGGCCAGATTTCAGAAAGAAACCCAAACACCCATGACACAATTACCACCCAGACGCAGGTGTGGCTGTTCATAATGATGATGTACCTCAGAGGGTTGCAGACTGCCAGTTAATGGTCCACAGCCATCACTCCCAGTAGTACAAACTCTGTGGACCCCACAGCAAGGTACAGGAAGAGCTGGGCAACACATGCAGTCAGAGATAGTGTCTGCATCCCAGGGAGCAGCAACTCCCAAAGCATCACAGGGATGATAATGGATGTCACCAGGATCTCCAAGGCAGAGAAGTGACCAAAGAATAAACACATGGGGGAATGCAGGCGTTTATCAACACAGACAATCATGATGATGACTGTGTTTCCCATTAATGTCACTGTGTAGAAGAAAAAGAATATAGCAAAAAGAATACGATGTAGCTCTTGGGACCCAGGGAAGCCTAGAAGGCAGAATTCAGTGGCACTAGAGCGATTGCCCATCATTTAGTGCTTCTTTCTGCTCCTTGTGGAACCTGGAGACGAGAAGAGAGGTAACTCTGCTCCACATGGTTCTGCTCTCGAGAGAGAAGGAAGACAGATTAGGATGAGAAAATATTTTCAACTTGATGATCAGGTGAGATGCCCCTAGTACCGTGCTGTGCCAAAGTCACACCTAAATGTTCTCACCTCAAATGTAGCTCAAGGCTAGCTCTTGGGAATGGGTGATGATATCTTCTTCTCTATCGCTGTAAGGAAAACCTTCCTTGTCTTTTTTTCCCCACTGGATGTGCCTTCTCACAGGGGACAGAGGCTAAGATCTCTTGAAGTGGCCAGTTTTGAAGCTGAATTATCAGCCTCTCCAAGGCCTGTCCTACTTCTTCTTAGGTTCACTGTACCAGAAGACATCATTGTATTCCAGATGATGTTCAAAGCATGGAACTTTGAACCGCAGCCCTCACCCATACTGGAAATATATAGACCCCACCTTGGGACCAGCAGAAAAGAGGCAGGGGGTCCAATACCAACATCCTTGCTTTCTCCAGTTTTTGAAACCTCCACACTACAGAGCAGCAAGATCTCCAAATGGAAACTCTGGAGCTTGGGACAATTTCCCAGAGCAGATTCATTCTTCTCTGACTCCATTTTCTTTAAAAATCTTAGGAGGAAGGAAGATGTCACCTGGCACTGACAGATCCAAGGCTGTAAGCTGCATAGGATTCCCGGATCTCTGCCCCTAACTTCATCTATCCCAACTCAAATGTCATCTCCTCAAAGGACTCTTTCCAATCGCCCAACCCAAAACAGGAAAGACATGATAATTCTTGGACTTTAGTTTTCTTTGTAGCACTTGTATTCCTGATACTATGTTATGTGTTTGTTTATTTCACTCCTTCACTTAACATGAAACAAATATCCTCGTGAACAGAACATACAGAAGACTAATAAGTAAAATATATAGTATGTGAGTTCATTAATCATGCCGTAAGAAAAAGAAAGCAAGGAAGAGGAAAAGGAAATTTAATTCTATTTATTCATTGTTCATCTATGTTATAGAATGCAAAATCCATGAGGGCAAGGATATGATTTGTATATATATGTTTTGTGCATGTATATATATATGTGTATATATATATATATCTTGATATCTATAATATTCTTGAGCCCAATAAGTAGAGCTGGAAACTTTTGTTAAATGATAGAGGTGTGGGTGTATAATATGTGATTAAGTAGTACTGGGTCCTGGACAAGATAGTTAGGCCATTTCCCCTCAATCTTACTCTTCTTATCTTCCCCTCCTGCCTCATGGTACCGTTTTCCTTTCCTCCTTTCTCTTCCTGATGCAACTTTCTCAATATCTATGTGGCTCTTTTCCTGATGGACCAACTGGTTTCAAGGACAGAAATGTTGGGAGAGTTCAGTGGTCTTCTTTCTCATAAATTCTGCATAAGCAGCACTAGATGAAGAAAATGAGAGAAAAGATCCTGGTTGAGCCTATCCCTAGCGTTGGGTCAGAGAAGAACTATACCTGCTCAGAGAAGAACTCTACCTGCTCTCTGCTGTGCATGTGGCATTTGGAGATGAGCCCATCTGCTCTGCTGCTCCCATGGCAAACTCTTTAGGCTCTAAGTGTCCTTGTTCTAGAAGGCACCAAGCCCAGAACTTCCCATCCTGATCCTCTCTTTCTCTTTCCTTTGTAGAGGAGAACCCTGAGAAGACACTCACCTTATGGAGAAGCTTCACTGCCATCTCTAATGCTCTTCAGAGCTCAGCCAAGGATAACTCCATCTGCCCAGGGGCTGGAGCAACTTGCTGCTGTCTCCATTCATGGTGAAGAAGGAAACTGATCTCAGGGAGATGCTTATGAAAAATTCCAGAAGTGACAGTGCTGTGGGAGCTGAGGGTCTCTGTCTCTCTCTCCTTCCATCCCGCCTCCATCTTTCCCAAGGGAGTTCAGTCACTGAGGTACCTGTTCTTAATTAGCCCAGCTTCAGTGTTTCCCTAAACAATCAGCCTGGGGAGAGCAGAAAAACTTTTAGTTGATCCCATTTTGACAAGTTAAGTTTCATAACTTTTTAAGGTTTTTGTTTAATCGGAAAAACCTGAAATCTCACCAATCAGAGACTTCTCAATACCAAGGCTGCCTTCTCCAAAGGCCCTAAGCCTAGCTTTCCAGAAGATGTCTCAAATTCTAAGCACATCATGCCTTTTCCCCTTTATTCCAGGTTCTGAACAGGATTCTCTTGTCTATTCAGAGCCAAAATCAGCCCCCACCACCCAGTAAGAAATACCACATTTACCTCTAAAATGTGCACCAGTATCTAAAAAAGCCTGCTGTTGGTCTCAGTCAAAGCCTTAACTTCATGAAAAATCCCCTATAAAGCCTGATTTCTCCTTCACTCATTTTACAGGGGATCTTGCTCCTAATCTGTGGACTCTCCAGAACACGATGGAAAAGTTCAACACCTACATGCGACTCCACTCTCTGGTATTGTCTCAGGTTTCCTCTCTTCTGAACACATGTGCATCTGTATGCATTCAAGCAAGATTCTTTTGGCCTTTTATGTATGGCATGTCTCTGATTACCAGCTGGGCACTTCAAAGTGGGGAGAACATAAGGACAGCCTAATGTAGGCAGTTATATTTACAACCTGGAACAACTGACAAAATGTAAATTGGAAATCTGCTTGGTGCTGGAGTGAGACAGGAAATGTGAGACTTACAAAACATTCATCTGGATTTTAGATTTCATTTTATGTATACCTGTTAAATCTCAGAACGTCAAATGGTGGAGCAGGGTATAAAATGGGAATAATCTCCCTTCCAGTTCCTCAAATTGCCCAAACCCAACCAGATTGCCATATAATCTCAGAGATACTTTCTAAGCAGATATCTGCATAGTGGTTTAACGATAATGCTGTGAAAATTCATTTTACCCTCTTTCTCTCTCATTTGACAATATATATAAGATACCTTCCTTTATCAAAACATATAGTTGCATAGTAATACATTATAAGGTACTCGTTTCTTATTAGTTTTCCCCTCTATTGATCAATTTTGGTGTTTTTTTCCCTCTTACTATGAAAAATGATGCTATGAATATTCTTAGATATTCATGTCATTTCTATTTCTGTTATAAATTCCTAGAGTTGGAATTTTCTGCTTTTAAGGTAGACGTATTGATGCTAGTGCTTTTTATTGGCATCAAATTATACTCCAAAGATTTTGGATTCATTCGCATAGGTACTATGACTGTATAGTCATGTGTCACTTAATGATGGAGATAAATTCTGTGAAATGCATCAGTAGGCAGTTTGATCATTGTATGAACATCATAGAGCATACTCACACAAACCTAGGTGGTATAGGCTGTTACACGCCTAGGTCATATTGTATAGTCTATTGCTCCTAGACTACAAACCTATACAGCATGTTACTATACTGAATCCTAAAGGCAATTGTGACACAATGGTAAGTATTCGTGTGTCTAAACCTATCTAAACATAGAAATGGTACAGTAAGAATACTGTACAAAAGATAAAGAATGATAAGCCTGTATAGAGCACTTACCATGAATGGAGCTTGCAGGACTGGAAGTTGCTCCGGGTAGGTCAGTGAGTGAGTGGTGAGTGACTGTGAAGGCCTGGGACATTATTGTACACTACTGCAGACTCTGTAAGCCCTGAATCAGTGTGCAGTATACAGTTATACTGTATAAGGCTACATTAATTTTACACAAAAACACTTTTCTTTCTTCGTTGATAAATTAACCTTAGCTTGCTGTAATTTGTTTCCATCATAGACTCTTTAATTTTTTTAAACTTTTTTGACTCCTTATAATGAAACTTAGCTTAAAACACAAATACAATGTATAGCCATACAACAATATTCTTTTTCTTTATATGCTTATTCTATAAGCTATTTTCTGTTGTTAATTGTTTGTTATAAGCTTTTTCTTAGAGACTAAGACACAAACATATACATTAGCCTAGGCTTACACAGTGTCAGGATCATCCATACCACTGTCTTCGATTTCCACATCTTGTGCTACTGGAAAGTCTTCAGGGCTGCTAGCATGCATGGAGCTGTCCTATTCTGTAACAACAATGCCTTCTTCTGGAATACCTCCTGAATGACCCGCCTGAGGCTCTCCTTGAGGTATCATTCTTTTCAGAAAAATGTCCATGGTGGTTTCCTTTATTGATCATTGATTTCCTTGTAAGCAGATCATGCACAATGAATATTCCTCTTTATTCATGAAAGCCTTTCAGCGTTGGGATCCACTTTTTCAAACTTTCTGAGGGGCTTGTTGAGGTCTGTAAAAGCTTTTGCTAAACTAGTCACTATGAATTTTCTTAAGGGTTCTTCTTTTTCTTCTGCAGTTTCTTTTTCTCTTTTCTTGTCTTCAGTTATGAATTCCTGTCCCAGTTCCCCAAACTCCTCATTAGTAAATTCCTCAGGAGACACATCTAGGAGCTCTTAAATGTCACCCTTATCTACCTTTATGTTAAAGTTGTTTGCTATCTCAACCCCAGTCTTGCTGATGTTTACAACCTCCTCATCTTTGGCAAATCCTTCGAAGTCATGGATGAACCTCTTGAGTGTCTTCATCCAGAGGCTGCTCATATCCTCCTTCGTGACATCACCCCAAGCCCAAGCAAGGCTCTTGATGCAATCAGAGATATTGTAATCCTTCCAAAATAGCGTCAGTGTCTCCCTCAGTTGCAGCAATTACTTAAGCAAAGTTCCTCCTCCAGTAGTACGCCTTAAAAGCTGCTATAACTCCTCAATCCATTGGTTGGATCAAAGAGGTGGTGTTTGCATGTTTGATATTGGGATGAAGATCACCATAAAAGAGAGATGTCCAGGAGCGTTATCAACAAAAAGCACTTGAATCTTTAAACATATGCTATTCTTCAAACACTACTTCTCCATTTTGCTGGCATAGCCTTTCAGGAGGGCACCTTGGAAGAGGAGCTGAGTCATCCATGAACTCTTGCTCCTGTAGTACACTGATGGTATGTGATTATTGATATGCTTGAAGGCCTTGGGGTTCTCCCTGGGCCATATCATAAAAAGCTTCAATTTGTAGCCCCCAACACTGCCTCCAAGCAAGACTGCTATCCTGTCCTTAAAAGCTTTGAAATCTGGCAATGACTTGGCCTCCTTTTGGATGAAAGTTTTTTCATCCATTTCCAGAATAGGGAGGTTTCATCCATATTGAATATTTTCTCTGGCAAGTAATTTTCCTCAACATTCAGCTTACCTAGACTTTCCAAAAATTCTTCAGCTACCTGCACATCAGCACTCACAGACTTGCCACTGACTTTCACATTGTATAATGACCAACCATTCTTGAATCATTTAATCCATCCACAGCTAGTAGTAAATTCAACATCATAGACTGGGCCAGTATTTTCTTTCAACATCACAAGCAAACTTTTTGTTATAGCTGTAGTCATCAAGGTGCCTAGAGGGATTACATTTCTGTGTCTGGTTTTCAATACAGATCATTAGAATTTTCTCCATTTCTGATAGACCCTTCTTGGATTTTTGTAAATCTCACTGCCTTCAATCAAGCAGACTCTCTAACAGCTTTCCTCACTTTGTTCTGGTTCTTCAAGATCATAGCTATGGAGGAATGGCACATGCCTGGCTGGCAACTGGTGATCATTCACTGATCTCCTATGTCATAGTCTGTAATAATTTTTAATTCCATTTCCAGGTAAATCATTTGACATGGTCTCTTACTGGCAATAATAACAGTGGATTTTGTACACTTAGGGGCCATAATGAACAAAACAATGCAAGATTAAATCAAGCACAGGAGACAATGATGCAATCAAGAGATACAGTAAACATGAGATGTTTGAGGCTTCTGCTGGGCTATATGGTGTGCTGTTTTACAGTAATTTTTTGCAAGTATAAAATGTACACTCTAAAATAACAATACAAAGCATTATAGTATATAAATACATAAGCCAGTAAAATAGTAATTTGTTATAATTATCAGCATTATGTACTACACATAATTGTATGTGCCAGACGTTTATATTACAGTCAGCTCAGTAGATTTGTTTACATCAGCATCACCACTAACACGTGAATAATCCATAGCACGATGGCAACAACGTCACTAGATGATAGGAATTTTTCAGCTCCATTATAATCTTATTGGACCATCATTGTTTACGTGGTCTGTTATTGACTGAAAAATTATTATGCAGCCCTTGAGTGTATAAAATGAGAGTTATTGACTTCCTGATCCACTACCAACCAACAGTATAATCACAATTTAATTTTAATTTTAAATTGAAGAGAACAAAAATAAACTATCTTAGAGAGAAATCAATTGAAAAGCCTGAAGAAATGGAAAATGTTTCAAAAGGTAAAAATTACCAAAACTGACTGAAAAAGAAATTGAAGAAATAAATATTTCTAAGTATGTTAAATATATTGAATTCATAATTAAAAATCTTTTCACACAAAAAACTACAAGTCCAGTTGGCTTTACTGATAAAGTTTATAAAATGTTTAACTAAGAAATAATACCACTCCTACACAAAATCTTCTGGAAAATTGAAGAGAAGGGAACACTGCCCAATTAACCTTTTAAGGCCAGAATTATCTCAGTACCAAAGACATCACAAGAAAATAAATCTAAAAACCAATGTCACTCATGAACATTGATGCAAATATCCTCAACAAAATACTAGGAAATTAAATCCAGAAATATCTAAAGAGAATGATATACCATATAAAGGTGGTGATTTTATTTCAGAAATAGAAGCTTGGATTAATATTAGGAAATTATTCAATATAATTGACCATGTTAACAGAATTAAAGAGAAAAAAATGAATGATCATTTCACTAAGAGTGGAAAATCATTTGGTAAAAACCAGCATTCATTGATTAAAAACTGAGCAAACCAGGAACAAAAGGGATCTGTTTCAAATTGATAAATAGCATCTAACAAAAAACCTAGCGCTAACATGAAACTTAATGATGATAGATTCAATGATTTCCCTCTAACATAGAGAACAAATCAAGGATATCTGTTCTCATCACTTCTATTCAACATTGTACTGGGAGTTCTAGTCATTGCAATAAGGTAAGAAAATGAAATTAGAAGGAAACACTTAGAAAATAGACATAAAATTATTTATTCTCTAATGACATAATTCTCTACATAAAAAAGAATTCCAGAAAGAAAGCTGCTAGAACTAATAAAGAATTATTGAGGTTACAGGGATAAAAGCTCAATATAAAAAAAACTCATTTTATTACTATACACTTAAAATGGACATGGGAATTAGAAATACAAATATAATTTAAATTAAGACCCCAAACATAAAAAAACATGGGTTATGTTGAACAAACTAAGCACAAACCTTAAAACTATAAAACATTGCTGAGAGAAATTAAAGATATAAATAAATGAATATTCTATTTTCATGAATCAGAAGACTCAATTTTTTCAGGATGCCAATTCTCTACAAATTAGGCTAAAGATGCAATACAATTGCAATCAAAATCCCAGGAGGCTGTTCTATAACATTGAAAAACTGACTCTAAGATTTATATGCAAATGTGAAGGACCTAGAAAAACCAAATTAATTTTGAGGAAGAAAAATAAACCTGAGGGACTCACAATATCTTATTTAAACACTTGCTACAAAGCTACAGGAATCAGGGCAGTGTATTTTTGACACAGTATCATGTAGATCAATAGACATATAGACCAGTAAAATAATAGAGAATTCAGACACAGACCCAAACATTTATCTTCGATTGATTTGAACAACATGAAGTGTTGGTGAAGAAGTGGAGCATCTGGAATTCTCATACATTGCTGGTGGGAATGTTCAATGATATAAATAACAGCAGTTAAACATACATTTACCATACAAACCTGCAATTTCGCCTTAGATATTTTCTCAAGGTAAATGAAAACATATATCCACCAGATGTATTTCTGAATGTTGATAGCAGTTTCATTCACGTTAAACAGCCAACAGGGCAAATGACAATCAACAAGTGAATGGATAAATAAATGGTGTGACATCCATACAGCAGAATACTACTCAGCAATAAAAAGGAATGAAATATTGATAGATGCACCGTCGTGGATAAGTCTCTACAAGGCTATGTTAAACAAAAGAATCCAGATATAAATTCAATAATTTACTATCCCATTAATAAACTCAAGAAATGAAAATGAAAATCTACTCCATAGTAGATTTGGATAATGGAAATCAACATGAGACTGAGGTTGGGGTGGACACAAAGAAACCTTGGGTGATGAACATGTTTCAGAATTTGGTTGTGGTGGTGATTAGATGAGTGGTTAAATCTGTTAAAAGTCATTGAAACTTACACTTAACATGCTGCATTTATTGTATAAAAATTAATTTTGATAAAGTTGAAAATATTTTTAAAAAGAAATTCAAGATATAAAAAAGAGGATATAAGTGACCGTTGGGGACTTGATAGGAAGAGGAATGAAGTAAGGACAGGTGAAGGCTCAAGATGACATCCGGTGAATATGAAGGCTATTAGAATAAGTTGAGTAAGTAGGATGTGGCTGTGGGGTGAGTGTGGGGATGCGAGGAGCTGAAAACAACACAAGAGAAGGAGGGGGCTTATCTAACCCTAACAGATATCACAGTGTGACAAGTAACTCTCAGACCTTTCCCCAAATATATGTATCCCTAGCCAAGTTCTATCAAAATGTTCTTGAATAACATTCCGCAAACACCTCTTAAGGGAATAGAAAATTTTATTGTAAAAAGGAACATAGATATCTCCTACCAGTAGATCTCAAAACATTGAGAGCACAATATTAAAGTGTACATCTTTGGTGAAAGTGAAAGGATCTCAAGATAGTGTAAGATCATGGATAAACCATTGACATTGCGAGCAGGAACCTGAATGCTAATTCTCCTTCATACTCATTAACTATGTTACATTCACTGTGAGTGTTCATCCCTCTGGTTTTGGTTTTCTCATCTGAAATATCAGGACATTGACATAAATAAAATCTAAGGTGTTATTTTTTTGCGTCTCTACTTGGCACAAAGAGAGGGAGTGAGGAATAGAAATGGAGCCAGTCCTAAAGTCTTCTTAAAGGTACACTGAGCCTCTCAGCCTCCCACTGAGGCTCTCAACTCATGACCATTCCTCATGGAACCCTTCTGCAAAGCTAGCCTTTTTGTCAGGTTCAACTCTTTCCAGGTAACATTATAGGCCACTCCAGATGCAGTGCCTAAACTTAGCCTACACTACAGGATTTTAGGGGAGGGTAAAACTGGTGAATGCCCAAACTCCAACTTGGCCAAACCTCAGGGCCATTCCATGTCTATATCTGACTTCCCCACATAAGTACTTGGGGATACTGGAAAGAGGAGAAGTCGTCAAGGCCCAGAGAAAGAAAAATCCATTTTGATGACCTAGTAGACTATTCAGGGTAATAACCCTAAGGGTCAAGATCCTATGTGCAGAAGAGGTAATGAGAGATAATCCTTACCTGCCTGCAACCAAACCCTCCTAACTCACCTTCATGTCTGCCCTCTTTCTACTCTGTCCTCCCTATAGCAGCCTGAGTCATCGTTTAAGACCCAGATTAGATCAGGTCTCTCCCCTGATTAAAACCTTCTCACTGCACTTTGGTCATAGCCCAAAGTCCTGTAAAGCCCCACATGATTTCTAGAAATGCTTTTCTCTAATGTCATCTTGTGTTACCCATCCTTCACCCCACGCTGTCCAGGAACACTGATGTTATTCCAGTTCTTTCAGAGGCTTCAGTGCATGCTGCTCCATCTCTTAGAGTGCTCCTTCTACATCCCACCTAGCTTCTCCTAGTTAATGCTGTGTATCAGTTAATGATCACTGTCTTGTAGAGACTTTCCCCATCCTCCTCAGACACGTTCAGGTTCCCTGCCAGGTGCTCACCAAAAACCCTTGTAGTAGATGCTATCTGCATTGCTCAGACTCTCCCAGGATTCAGACATGCACTCCTCCAGCCCATAGGTGAGACTATCCTCAGAAATTACCCTCAGACAAAGAGAAATGCCTCCCTAGTTAAAGACCTTCCCCTGACGCAGTCTGTACTCAATGGTCTGTTGATGCAGGAGAGCAAGTACCTAGCCCCTGTGCTTTACTTAGGGGCACAATTCAGGACACCTCTCAAGAGTCATCTAGCTTCAGAGCTCCCTGTGAGATGGATTCCCTGTGGGACTGAAGCCTCTGGTGCAGCTTCCTCACAACTCAGCTTCCCACCGGCCCAAACATCTTCTCCCTCACACCTTTACAGGGAGTGGTCCAAACATCGCTCCCAGACTTAAGATAACTTCATGGTTTCTTTCTTGAAAAGATTCATTATTTGTAATTACATGTGTTTTGAGAATGTGAAAGAATGCATAGACTTTTTTTATTACATAAAGTAAGATCAGTTTTCATCAAACATACTCTATCTGGAAGGAGACCATATCCACTATGTCCACTGATATATTTCCAGCTCATTGTCTGAAAAATAGCTGTTATTAAAAATCAGTCTTGTTAAATTTTCTGTTAATTTTGAATGAGATTGAGTTCTCATAGTTTTAAAAACCATTTATATTTCTCTTTAGTGAACTTATCAGTTTATAAGAAAAGAACAGGAATGTTGGTGAGTGAACAAGGGCGAATAAGGCAGAGAGCAAGAGGCCTGGGTGACAACAGGTAGAACTAAAGAAACGGTAGTGGAGGGCAGTGAGGCTGTCTTCTCTGTCCCCCTAAGTTTACTCCACCAGCCCAGAAACAACTTAGGCCACAGAAAGCCTCTGTGCAAATTAGAAAAAGGCATCCTCCCTGCGTTAGTGAATTAGAAAAATGGTATTCATCTAGTGAGAACAGACCTCATATCATGAGCCTGGAAAACAGAGGTAG